TCTCTCTCTCTCTCTCTCTCTCTCTCACACACACACACACACACACACACACACACACACACACACACACACACACACACACACACACACACTGTCTTGGGGTGTGTGGATGTATGAACCTCTTCCAAATGGCTTTGAATGTAGACTCCAAGAATTTGCTGGCATTTGCTATGTGCTGTCTTGTCCCTTTCAAGGAGGTTGAGTGTTTCGAGGTTGCAGATGCATCTCACATGCATTATAGTTGCTGAGCAAGTGATCCTTAGATTACTTAGGCTATTGGTCAGACCTTGCACACATGTGATCTCTCATGACATCTTTGGTGCACAGACAGATACTTATGGGTGCCTGAGACAAACACACCAGAGAACAAGCAGAGTGCACATGTACAACTGCCCACCTCCTCTTGACGTGCCAGTTGTTAATTAGCGAGCGAATGGTAGCCAAATACATCAAATAGTACAAATCCCAGTGATGGTGACCCATGAGAAATTTTCACCTCCAAGTAGTTAAATCAATCATGTTTGAAGCCCAGCCATGCTGGGGAGAAGCATACAGACTCATTTTGCTTTTTCCCAAGTTCACCCTCAAAGAAGGAGGCTAAGGAGCAAAATCTTAGGTTCGGCGGTCAGGATAACATTATTGTTTTTTGTTTTGTTTTTTGTTTTTTTTTTACCATTTCTCGACTTATGTGTGTCATTCTTGCGCAGGGGCCATTTGGACCATTTCTCGATTTTTGTGTGTTGTCCTTTCGCAGGGGGTATGCTTTTTTTTTTTGCTTTTTTTTTTTGCTTTTTTTTTTTGCTTTTTTTTTTTTGAAGAAAGCACCGGCCTCAAGAGATAGGAGTGATGATAAGAGCATACACTCTTACTTGTCATGCAGGGGACTCCATTCTATCTATTGGTGGGGAGCTGCACCTGCTGGAAACCGGGTCCGGCGCCCCTTGAACAAGGTAAAATAGCACCTGCTGGGAACCGGGCCCAGCGTCATGCTAATCTCTGTATCGTTCCAATTTAAACGAATATCCCGAAGGACAGGATAAAATTATTGTTGGCCCAAAGATTCCGGTCCTGTTTTTCCCCCTTGCTTCTCCTCTGTGTTTTAACTTGCATATCAGCTTCTGAGAGGCTGTGACCGACCAGTATTTCTTATTTTGTTCGTATTAACGGTATTATCCCTTTTTCGTTTCTTTTGGGTTCGTGTCATACCTTCTTTTTCTTTTTCTGTGTCATACTTGCACAGGCGCCCTGCTCATCTTCTCTGTATCTTTCCAATTGTAATGGATGTCCCAAAGGACATGACATGCCTTTATGGATCTCTGTCGTAACTATTTGCTTTTGTTTTCCTTCCTTTTTATTTGCTTGAATTACTTCTGACAAGTTCTGTACTCTGTAGTTTTCTCATAATTGGTTTTGCAAATTCTGGAGTTGGTCCTCCACCTGTCTGTCTTGATTCCAGAGGTGCTTCACCTGCCAGACACCTTTTTTTTTTTTTTTTTTTTTTACTTTTTTTTTACTTTTTTCGGGAACAGACACCTTTTCTTAGCCACCCCCCCCATCTGCTGTCTGTTGCTGTCAGAGACCACGGCTCTCCACGACTACCAGTCTGCTGTTGGTTGCAGAACAATGGTTGCCCCAGCACCTCTTCCGTGGCGTGTGGGCCTCATGACCTAGGAGGCTTAATCGCTCTCCAGATCCTGATCAGGTGGCCCCAATACAGGTCGGGGGTGCGTGGCTCGTTGTCGTCCCCACTGCAGCCACCGTTTCCCCCCCTTCTCCCAGCCCAGGATTCAGCGAGCAGCCAGAATGTCCCGCTCATATTTCCCGAGGTTTGGTATCTGGCTTGCTGTCGGATTCTGCGCTGCCCCAGCAAATGCCATGGCAGTTCTGGCTGCAGGAGCTCCAGGAGCCATTTGGTTTGCAGGGCCTTAATCTGCAGTTCCGGGTAGATTATCCCCAGCCTCCAGGCCGCCCTGGCTCTTGGGCTGGCAAAGTATGTGCCATGCCACTCTTCAAACAAAGGAGCGGCGGGACGGTCGCCTGTCCACAGGTAGGCCGCATTTCGCCTCAAGTCCTTGCGTAAACGGCCCTCCGGGGTCCAAATTGTGCCTGCGTACCATAGCATGGAGAAGATTGAGGCGTTAAACCACCAGTACATCCAAAAAAGCCGATCGAGGCTCTCGTAAGAATTCGGAGGCCGTGGACCATCGATAAAATCAACCTGCGGATCACAGCCGCGTATTTTTCAGGAGAGGCTCAATCTCCTTTTATGGATCTACTGGTGTTTTTTTTTTGTTTTGTTTCTTTTTTTGGATGCTCACAAGACCCATCCCATCCTACGTCTTTGTTCTTCTTCCTTAGCGTAATCCCTGCTTCCTCATCTACGGGGGCACTTATTGGCCCTACTGCGGTTATACCGGACAGCAGTCGCAGGCACCAGTGCTAGGCCAGGACAACCTCTCCCAGCCCTAGTTGAAGCACTATCAAACGAGCCCTGTTGCACGGGTACTCCGGTCGCCAAGCGTGGTCGTCCTATACACTTATTTTTTCTATGAGCACCAGCCCGGGTCAGTCGGACAGCAAGGATACCATAGGGCCACCCCTAGGCAGTGTCTAGTGGTCCTGCCCTGACCAAGGTCCCGAGACAGCCCCCTTGATCCTATCCGGGTGACATGTTCCTAGCACAGCCTACTATTGCCGTATTTGGGGTTGTGCTATCGTTGTGGTTAATTATCTTAAGGACGAGGCCCGAGCCGAAGACCGGGGTGTGCATTTCACCTTTTTTGGGAAAAAAATAAAAACAGGGCCGACCTGAATTGATGTGGGCGCAAAATGTTTTCATTTTGCCTGGCGCCGCCAGCCATTTTGGTGCTGCTGCCTTTTCCCACAACCCTTTTCTGTGTGGGCACTCCAGTACGCAGTGCACCAGGGAGTCGAATTCTTGCATGGTACACCCTTTTACAGACAGGTGGTTTACGCATAATTCGCAATTTCGCAGCAAGGCCATGATGGTAGTGAACGTGGAAGGCCACTATGAAAAAAAAACAGTTAGAGGCTCTCGAGCCTTGGAAGGTAGTTTCGTCGACTTAAGCTCGTTCGTTGATCCTCTTTTGTCCCTACATCCCAGCCCATTTGTTTTCTGGAACTGCCCAACTTGAATATATGATTTAAGGAGGTGTTGACAGAATCTATCCAGATAATCCGAAGTGGGGTAACGGCCCCGGTACAGGGATTCATTTCTCATCGGAATTGTCATTTCAGGGACGCTGGACACCATTTCCAGCGGGTGCCGCTCCCCACCAATTGGAGCACCAGCAGTAGGCCTACTGGGGGGACATGCTCATACCGCTCACCCTAGTAGACTGAGGTTGGTTTAAAAAACAAAAACAAAAAAGAGAGAGAGAGAGAGAGAGAGAGCTGTCTCTTATACACATCTAGATGTGTATAAGAGACAGCTGTTATCCTGTGCAATTTTCATAATGATGACCACATTCAAGTTGATTCAATGGGACTTGAATGTGCAGAAAAGGAGCTTCGGGGAGTGTTTGTTTGCACTTGCACCTGTGGTTTGTTTTTCTTTGTCCGCTTGTGCTTCTGCCATGACGTGATTGTGCATGGATGTGCGTTGCAGAGGGAGGGCAGAAGAAAGCTAATCTGTGTTGATGATGATACTGGCCATTGTGCCCATGGGCACGTGCGTATTTGTTCCATCGTTATGGGTGGATGTGATGCGCAGGCAATTTACGGCAAACACAATCAGGATGGACCCCTACAGCAGCCTTGTACTTGAGGCGAGATCTGCCAGGAATGAGCAATCTACCACTCTTGAGTAATGGGATGGGACTTTTACACGACACAACAAAACACAGGCTGGTATGGAGGGGAGGTTTTCTTTCTGCTGTTCACACATACACACACACACACACACGCACACACACACACACACACACACACCTGTCTCTTATACACATCTAGATGTGTATAAGAGACAGGAGAGAGAGAGAGAGAGAGAGAGAGAGAGAAACTATGGCTCGGTCTGGGTTAGAGTATCGAAATGCATTCGGAACATGGTTTCTGCAGTTCCCATAAGGTCCGAAGTTCGAACTGCAGTTGAAGTTAGGGTTGGCAGTTCAGTCACAGTTTGGAAGTTTGGGTTAGCAGTGGAGCTGGGGCCCGAT